GCTTGGATAGAGGAAGGTAAAGGGAAGATGGGAGACTGAGTCCAAAAGAGCTTCCTGACTGGATGTCTCATCCCTGTCCTCTGGATCAGTGTCCTGCTGACTAATGGTGGCAGTGTGGCCCCTGTGACTGGGAGCTAGGGAGGGACTTTGGGGCCATCAGGCTGACTGTATCCTACTTTCTGCTCACTCCCCTGGGTGGTCCTATCTAGGGCTGCTGCGAGGACGACTCTGGGTGCTCTAGTCATATGCACCCCATTTCCTTCTGCCAATCCAGTTTCCACTCTTCCTCCCTTTCTTGAGTGGCTGACAGACACACCCGCTTTGGAACAATCCGGACAGCCAGCAATGAGGACTCCAGATTCAGGAATATAGAATTTCATGTAGCAAGTGTCCAAGGTTCTATCCGTCCAGCTAAGAGGATGTCCTACCAAATTGTCCCCATGACAAGCTGTCCTAATGTCACCCATGGGTGTTGCACGTGCACCAAGGACTTGCTGGCCAGGTTCCACTCAGCAGTGCTGGGAGGGCACTGATGCATGGACGCCAAGATCGGAGACCCTCGAATGTCCAGAAGTGGGGCCCTGCCATCTGATCCTGACCTGGAAGGAGCTGGAAGCACACTGGGTTGGTCCAGGGGAGGTCAGTGGCTTCAGCTGAGAGGTGGACAGCAAGAAGCTCACCCAGCCTGGCAGCACAAGCAGGGACAGCCAGGATGCCAAAGAGGCCAGCACTATAGGTAGCCCAGCTACTCAATCCCCCAGATGCTAGTCTCCGAGGTCTCAGGAGGCAGCAAAGCACAATGATTCAAAGCTTGGGAGTTTTGGTCAGTTGCCCTGGGTTCAGAGCCCACTTCTGTTATTTCCTTTCTGTTGGTAAGTTTTTTCCTCCAGGAACAGTTTCCTTATCTGTAGAATGGGTTTACCTCCTTGGGTGATTATAAGGATTTAGAGAAACAGAGCCTATAATCAATCCCTGCATAGAAGTAATGATTGTTGCCTGGCTGCCTAAGCTCCCGAGCTCTTGCCTTCCTTTCCCTTTCTAGCTTCATTCTTGTTCCTTGGACCAGCCATCCAGGGGACGTGGACCCTCCCAAAGGCACCATCGTGCCAGTGCAGGGTAACATCCAACAGTTGATTCAGTGGGGGATGTTTTTAATGTAGGGCATAGGTTTTCTTAGGGTGTCTGTGTTGTGTCATACCAAGCAGAAGGTGAGACCACCTTGAGCCTCAAAAGCCTTTTTATCCTGGCAACTCTGTGAATTCACAAAATCCATAATACTGTCATCACAGGGCTACCACTGCCGGCTTCAAAGTGAGCAAGCTCCTTGCAGGGAGATGAGCGGTACAGGCAGCATCATACCACCAGGGGGCGCTGCCTGCCTGGTCTCTCTCTCTCTCTCTCTCTCTCTCTCTCTCTCTCTCTCTCTCTCCCATTTCCCAAGAAGGCTGAGGGAAGGCAGAATCAGGAGCATTAACAGGGACCCTTCACATCACTTGGGCCCCTTACAGTTTGCCTCCTGTTCTTGTACATGCATTCCATCTTAGGACTAAGGGGATAATGCCCAGATAATGAATTAAGTCTCAGAGAGGTGAAGGGGCTGCTCGAGGCCACACAGCTGGTAAGTGGCAAAGCAGAGATCCCTGCTAGGCTTGCATGATGCCAACCCCCAGGGCTCCAGCCTCTGACCAGGGGGGAGGCAGCATGGCGAGGGGGCAGGAGGGTGTCCTGGGAGACGGGATCCAGCTCTGAGTCTTGCTCTACCTCCACCCAGCACAGCTGACCATTCCTATCCATTCCCCTCCCCTCTCCCCACATCGTGGGATTTCAGCAACCTTCTCTCACTGCAGAAGGTGAGGGGCTAAGGCAGCACAAGTGGAGCCCTCAATACTCAGCCAACATATGTGCTTTTCCTGGAGCACAGCCTGGCCTCTTAAGGGATGATTTTCAGTCCTGCCAGAGACTTCCACACTAGCCACCCCAACTAGCCACAGACACCCTAGCCTGCAACTGTACCCCGAGTCTGGGGCAGATGCTGGGATGCCAGGAGCCAAGGCAGTGTGCTAACAGGGGAAGCCTAAGGCCACCACTCACTCTACATCATCACTATGCTCAATGCTGTACATGCAGCCTCATGTAATCCCCGGGACGGCCTTAGGATGCACAGTATCATGATCTCCATTTTCCAGGTGAGGACTCTGAGGCTCAGAGAGTACCTCTGCAGTTCTGGGGTTGGAGGGTGGCTGGCTTTCCTCCCACGTCTGCTGCTGACTGACTAGATGCACAAGGAGAGGGCAAGCGTGGATCTTGGCCTCTGCCGAGTTCTGGAGAATGTAAAGGACATGAGGGCTGGCTGTCCTCCAGCAAAGGTCTCCAGAGCACCAACTCTTGGAGACAGGGAGGAAGGAGACTGTGGGCTTCCAGGAGCTCACAAACCTAGGGGGGTCAGCCAGGTCCTCAGTGGAGGATAGATTGCAACCAGACTTGGGAGCGAGCATGTGCAGAGGCCAGCAAGAGCGACAGGGGGCTCTGGTGGTCAGCCAACGTTTACAGGAGGAGGGGAGACTGGAACCAGTCATCAAAGGGTGAGGAAGAACGTGCTCTGCAGAGCAGAGATGTGGGAGACCTGTGAGCAAAAGCTAAGGCGTTAGGGTCCTGTGGCTGGGTGGGGAGACAGCAGGTGAACAAGGGCTCCTCTCTGGGGCACACCCATGGTCTTATAAGAGAGAGAAGGTGCAGGAAGATGCTGGGTGTCCATGGAGGGGCGTGCCTCAGGGAGCCCATGCATTATGATGATTCCTCCTGGTGGAAAAAATGAGGTTTGGGATTTACGATAGTCAGAAAACTGCATGCCTCCATGAGTGTGAATGTGTACACATGAGTGTATCTTTGAAGCCCTATGTCAAAGTCATTTTATATCTCTGATCTCTTTTTACTTTCCCAACTACCCTGAGAGGTTGGCTGGACAGAAATATCCTCAAGGACGGAGGAGAATACAGAACTCCAGTGGGATGAAATGTCTGGCCTGTGGTCATGGGGCTCAAAAGTTGAAAAGCCAAGGTCTATCCTGGGCTCCTGGCCCTAGCTCTATGCTCCTGCCCCAAACTTCCGCCTGGACTGCCATCCTATCTCCCAGGACCCTGCGTGCCACAGGCTACCATGCACCCTGCCTCCTCTTGCATTTTCACAGGAGAACCCCCACCAGGTCTGGTGGGTCTGGGAGCAGGAGTGAAGGACTGAAACAGAAAGATGAGGACCCACTGGCTGCAGATGCCAGAGCCCAAGTCCAGGGTTGAGGGTCCATCTTTTTCTCCCAAACTGCTTAACGTGCCCGCCACCGCCTTTAGGAGGAACTGCGTCAGAGAAAGGACCGGGCAGGGTGAAGCCCTGTGCTGGTTCTCCGGGGCAGACCTGGGGAGATGGGCCTCAGGTAGGGGCTCCCTAGTTTGACCTCTTCTTTCCAGAGTCTCCAGTGGGATGGCACTGAGGACCGAAGGTCGGGGGAGCGGACTTCTGCTCCCTGCCAGTACCAGTGGGCACGTGCGAAGCTCTCCCTTAGTGCCAGGCCCTGCTCTGAGGGCTGGCGCACATATTCTCACTCTCCAGAGCCACCTCCGGAGGAAGGTTCCATTATTACCTCCCTTTTACAGATGAGGAAAGGGAGGCACAGAGAGGTTCAGGGACTTGCTCAAGATCCCTCAGTTTGTAAGTGGTAGAGCTGGGGTTGAACCAGGACATCTGCCTCTAGGAGCTACTCTGCCCCTGTTATTAGTAACATTCATAGGCAAAGCCACCATTTGACCAGTACCTCCTCTGTGCCCGGGGCTTAGTTCCTTACAGCAAGCCTGGGCCTTGGGCACTACGCCCTGCACACTTCTCATCTCATAGATGAGTAAACCTAGGTTTGGCAGGCGGCCTGGGGTGAGGCACCTTCAGAATCCCACAGATGCCAGGTCTACCTAAGTCTGAAGTGTCCACTCTCCCCAGCCTCTACGACTCCCTGTGTGACAGTGGGAAAGCGCATTCCCTTTCAGAGCCTCAGTTTCCCTATAGCCTACTCCTGGCCTCCCTGCTCCAGCAAGTGACGACGGAGTGAGTGGGGTTGGGTGCTGTGGGAGTGAGGGTCTGGGCAGCTCAGAGCCTTTCCCTTCCCCCACCAGGCCCCCTCCCCTTCCCCCTTCGCAGAAGTCCAGAAGTCGCCCTTCGGTTTTGTTTTTTGTTTGTTTGTTTTTTTCCTCGATTGGTGAGTTGGGACGGGGAGGTGCTGGGTGCAGAAGGTCGCTGCTGCGTCACTCAGAGGTCAGCGAGGCTGGCTAGAGAAGGCCCAGCTCCGATCTGGGGAAGGACCGAAGGGCCCAGAAGCCACGTGCTCGGGGCAGTTCTGCGGGGAGCGGACTGTCCTCTGGGGAAGAGAGAAGCACCCCGGACTTGAGGAGGGGGCGGGGAGGGAGAGCCAGAGGAGGCAGGTTCTGGACAGAAGGGGTGGGGGTGGGGGGAGGTAGAGAGGACGCGGACAAAGGAGGCGGCCGGCAGCCCAGCTGTTTTGAAAAATGCTTCCTGTTTCTTTAAAGGCGCTCGCAGCTCGGGCGGCCGGGGCTGGGGAGGCGGCGGCGGCGGCGGCGGGGGCTGCCTCCTCTCGGGGCGGCGGCGCTGACTGATCTCGCGAACTGGGCTTCTGTGTAAACTGAGGCTAAACAAACACAGATGGAGCGCAGCGGGCGTTCTCCAGAAATGCTGGCAAGGCGGCAGCGACTTCAGATGACACTCTGAGCGCTCCGGGAACGGACAGCCCGGCGGCTTCGCGGAGCCGGCGGCGCAGCTGCCCCGGGCGAGGGGGAGAAAGGGAGGGAGGAGGGCGGGCGCGAGAAGGGGGAGAGCCCGAGACTCCCAGGCGCTGAGCGCGGCGGCCGCCCGGGCAGAGCCGGCGCGCGGCGTGCAGAGCGAGCGCGGCGGGCGCGCGGCCCGGGCAGCCCCACGCCCCTGCCTCGCGCGCTGCCCGCGCCATGAAGCACATCCCGGTTCTCGAGGACGGGCCGTGGAAGACCGTGTGCGTGAAGGAGCTGAACGGCCTCAAGAAGCTCAAGCGGAAAGGCAAGGAGCCGGCGCGGCGCGCGAACGGCTATAAAACTTTCCGATTGGACTTGGAAGCGCCCGAGCCCCGCGCCACCGCCACCAACGGGCTGCACGACAGGACCCAGAGGCTGCAGCCGGTTGCGGCCCCGGTGGCAGCCCCGGTGGCGCCGGCTGTTCCCTCAGGTGGGGGCGCGGACCCGGCCGGAGAGCGCCGGGGCGCCCGGGCGCCGGAGGTTTCCGACGCGCGGAAACGCGGCTTCGCCCTGGGTGCAGTGGGGCCGGGACTCCCCACGCCGCCGCCGCCGCCGCCGCCACCGCCACCGCCGCCTCCGGCGCCCCAGGGCCGAGTACCCGGGGGTCCCGAGGCGCAGCCTTTCCGGGAGCCCGGCCTTCGTCCCCGTATCTTGCTGTGCGCACCGCCTGCACGCCCCACGCCGTCGGCGCCCCCTGCGCCCCCGGAGTCTTCCGTGCGCCCCGCGCCCCCCACGCGTCCCGGGGAAAGTTCTTACTCGTCAATTTCACACGTAATTTACAATAACCACCCGGATTCCTCCGCGTCGCCTAGGAAACGGCCGGGCGAAGCGACCACCGCTGCCTCGGAGATCAAAGCCCTGCAGCAGACCCGGAGGCTCCTAGCGAACGCCAGGGAGCGGACGCGGGTGCACACGATCAGTGCAGCCTTCGAGGCGCTCAGGAAGCAGGTACCGGCTCCCAGCCGCACACCCACACTGCGCCCGGGGATGGTTGCTGGAGTGGGTGGGCGAGTGGCGGGGAGATTTTAGGAAGGATGAGGGTGTATGTGAGGAGCGAGTTGTTCCCGCCCGGTTGGCCCCAGGGTCCAGACAGGTTTGAGCCCTCCTAGAGCAGTACTTTGCCACAGCGTTGATACGGATCTTAGGTTGCAAAGTAGGGGCAAAGGTTCGAGATCTCTGGCCCAGGCACGCCCTGCTTTCCCCCCCAGCCCCCGGGGCGACCCTTCTGCGCGCCTGACTTCAGCCCTCATAGTTCACTTTTATGGCAGCAAGTATTTGTCTTCCCGAGTCCCTTGGGCGCGGTGGGGAGTGGAGAGAGGGAATGTGGGAATCTGTCTCCAGCGAGGAAGCGGAGGGGGGGGCGGGGGGGACCTTTCCTCTTCAGGCATTTAGCGCGGTCTGGGTCTTGGGAGGCCTACGATGCTGCGGAGGGGTGGAACTGGTTTTGCCAGCCCCTCTTCAGACCCTACCTCCTAGGAGGGATGCCTCTACACTCAGGCTGCTTCGGGGCCCTGCACCCAACCCCCTGGTATCCTTAAGGATCTGGGCTACAAGCCTGCGTCTCCTCCCCAGGGGCAGCCTCAGGAACTGGCTAGTGAGAGCCTTCTCAGGGGATACCCTCCGCTGCTGCGCTTCACCTCATGGTGAAGCAGGTAGGTCTACTGAGGGGACTGGTTAGTTGGGGGATCTGCAGAGCCTAGTTCTGGGGTGGGTCAGGGGCTTCTCAGTTTGGGGCTGGTGGGTGCTGCCTTCACCAGACAGCGTCCTCTAGGGGGATGGAGAAGAACATTTATCTGAGAATTACCGGTAATAGGGAGGGGCAGTTTTGCAATTACACTTTCAACAAGACTGGGACTGCCCTGCGGTTCTAGACTTCTGGTTTTCTTAGAGAGAAGGGAGATCTAAGAAGAAGGTAGTAAGTGCCCCCTGCCCGCACCCTCACAGGGAACAGGGATGGACTAGGGGTGGATGTGACTGGTTTGGACAGTCAGGTTTTTGCTTACTCTACAGCTGACTTCCTGTGTGACTCCAGGAAAGTTACTCAACCTCTCTGGGCTTTAGCCAACAACAGAGTGTTTTAGAAAACATGATCTTCTTTTTGGATCCCACTCTCTTCTTCCTCCTGTGGGCAGAGTGGACGGTGCATGTGTCCATCCATGGGAAGGGAATTGAGCTCCTGGGAGGAAAGAGGCTCTATGACTTGAGTCAAAGTGTCTTGCTTGGATTTGGGTAAGATGCTTGGTCAGTGATGTGGCCAGCCACACCAGCTGGGACCCCAGGCAGTGGGCCCAGTGGAACATTCAGGCTTACCCTTGGGTAGCAGCTCTGTGTGTCTGAATGGCTACGGAGGGTGGCAACCTATAGAGCATCCTGCAGCCTACCCCCAGGATAGAAGGATGACAGACTGGGCAGAAAGATGCCTGTCCACCTGCTTACCTTGCAACTAGGGAAACCTTGCAACTAGGGAAAGATTGGGGAGGCCACATGCCCAGGACATCACAGCTGGTGAGTAGCAGGGTACGGCTGGCACCTAGGTCCTTTGACTACCAGTTCAGGGCCCCTTTTGTCTCTCTGGTTGCCTCTTTCATTTCTGAGAAAGTATTCATGGTCTCTGTGTACTCAACTCAACTAAACATCTCATTTACCTGGTGGCTTTTGCTTCCTTCAGTAATATTCCACCTTGCCTGATCTTAACATCCTATCAGGTTGAATTACCCCATTTAATGGAATGGAAAACTGAGGCCTGGAGAAAGAAGGAAGGAGACTGGTCCAAGATCACCTAATGGGTTAGGGAAGATGATAGCAGTTTCTGGAATGCCTGCCTGGCCAAATGCTTCCCACAGTGCCATCTGTATCTGTCATGTTTATTAACGATCAGAAGCTGGTCTACCCATGACTGAGTCCAAGATGAGATTATTTAAACCCTGTTCTTTCACATCTCTGCTTTCTGTGGGGAAGTTCTACATAACAAGGACAGATGCAGCAACATACCTATGCCTCTACACATGATCATTACAAATGCCCAAGAGCACATACAAATACGTGGTCACAGAGGGGCCTGCTCCTGTTAGTTCTGTCCCCGCTCAGACCACTCTGTCCCTTCCCCAGAAAGCTGCCAGGTCAGAGTGGGCATCTGCCTGCTGTCTGGGAGGGAAGGAAATGTAGGTAGGGCACTTGTGATCTCAGAGCCAGGGGCTGAGGCCACCCCCACAAAGGCACCCATCCAATGGAGAAAATCCTCTGTCCCCCACACATAAGAGGTGCATGCGTGTAGCTCTGGATCTAGGCTCAAGTTCGACTGTTTGAAATGGGCCCTTGGCAAAGAAGGGAACAGGAGGATGGTTCTGCCGGAAATGAAGGCCTGGCCATCACGGCACCGAGATCAGTTCTGGGATTGTGGCTCTGGTCTGGGGTTTTGTTTCCCTGAGCAGCTAGCTTCCTGGTATGGTTAAAAGAGCACTGGGTGAGGAGTCCAGAGGCCAGGGTTTGAGTCGTGCCTTGTTGCCTGCTTTCTGCGCCACCATGCAAAGTCACTTTCCTTCTCTGGGCTTCAGTTGCTAAAGCTGGAAAATGGAGATAAGGCTTACCCCCCACATAGCTTCTTTGCAAAAAGCAAATGAAGAAAGGAATGGGGGCTGTAGGAGGAGTGAACATTCCTTGAGCATTTATAGAGTCCTCAGTGCCAGGCAAGGCCTTGAGAGATGTGGAAATAAACATTCTGTAATCATTTTAATAACAATCATAGGAACTACCATTTATCAGATGCTTGTTTTGTGGCAAGCACTGTGCTGGGCATGTTATGTGTATTAGTTCATTTAATGAAATAGGTATAAATATTATCCTCCCCCCTCCCCCGTTTCACAGATAAGTGAGGTTCAGAAAGCTTACCTAAGTCGGCCAAGGTTGCGCACATGGGGCCTTGTGGGTTCTGTGCCTCACGGCTCCTCGGAGCACCTCACTAGATGTGGGTGTGCCGTGCCTGCTTGGCTTGGTGTAGTCACAGGCTGCAAAGTGGGTGCCCCTGTCACTGTAGAGCCTGGATTCAAATCAGTCAGCGAGTCACTGCAATGCCCAGGCTTTTAAGAGCTCTTCCTCTCAGCCTCGTGAATACCCCTCGCTGTCCGCCCTCAGCACCAGCATCCTGAAGCCTTCTGTTTGGTCCAACCCACTCTGCTTCTTAACCGGGAAGGGAAGAGGAGGGAGCTGTTTGGCCGAGGAAGTGCAGGTGGGGGAGAGGCCCTCTGGTCGGGTGAGGGGCTGGGGTGTGTGCGGGGCAGATGGTCAGGCCACAGCACATGCCACCAGCCCAGCTGCGTACGGCCCTCCCAGCCGCCTCATGTGAAGGCCATGTGTGCACAGCTGGGCCTGGCCTGTGTGCAGGGCTGCTCCAGGGCCAGGTGGGAGGGGGTCGAAAGGAAAGCCTGGCCTTGCTGGGGGGGAGGAGGGGGGAAGGGGAGAGGCCAGTGTTCTGGCCTTGGCCTCCTGGCAGCACCCTGGGACATCTGGTGTGTGTGCAGATTTCCTCTCTCCCCTCAAAATTTGAAGCCCCTCAGCCTTGATGGAGGAATGGCAGCCTTGCAGGGCAGAGGCCTGAGGTGGCAATGAGGAGCCCTCAGGACCTGCTGAGGTGCCTCTGCAGGAAGAGGGTGCCAAGCAAATTGGGCCTGCACCCCCTTCTCTGCTGCCCCTGGAGTCTCCCAGGGGATCCTCACCAAGGGAACTCACGATGGACGATGAGGGGGCATAGAGATGATGCCCCCAACCCTATCCTTCCCTCAGTCACAGACCCCATAGCATGCCAGGGGGCCATGACCCCACAGCAGCTAGGGCACACCTCAGGGAATGGGGACAGGCCTGCTCTGGGGACTCCATCCATGTGGTTGAGGGGTGATAGTGGCCTCTACTCTGTCCCCTCATGGCTGGTTACCAGGGGGGCTCCTTACTGAGCCTCATTGCATTGGGGGAAGTGCCCTACCTGAGCCTATTGTTGCGTGTCTCTATGGTCACCCTTCCCAGGCCTGTCTGGCCCTGGGGCCACGGCTAGTAACTACTAAGACCCCAGTTCTCAGGGTCCAGCCTCAGGTTCTCTGGGCTGGAGTCCCAGAGAAGGGATTTTAGAGAACCTATTTCGGTAGAACTCGACAAGGACCTTGAACAGCTCCACACCAAGTGGCTTCACCTCCAGGAAGCCAGCCCTCACTGACATGAGAGATTAGAGAGAAGAATTTCCAGTAGAATCAGACGCTCAGCTGTGGGCCGTGAATGCAGTGCTGTGGGAGCTCTGTGGGTCCAGGATCCCGACGGGCTCCCAGGAGGGCAGCCTGGGCAAGATCTGAAGCGGGGGACAGCTTTGGGCACTTTCCTGCATGGGCTGGTAGCTTCTTGGCATTGTTTCTCTGTAGCAGCTTCCTGTATTTGCCTCCTGCCATCCCCGTCTCAGGTAGTGGGGACTCTGGTGATCATTTTGTTGGTAAGGAAGCTGAGATCCTTTAAGGTCATGGGACTGTCTAAGGTCACAGTGGACGGCCAGGAGTGGAGCCGGGAGAGAGTTTGGCTAGGGTGGGTGAGATGGAATGTTTGGGGGGCATATGGTCACAGTCCCCAGACCTGGCCCTCTGAAGCTTAAAAATCCCTATGGGGTCAGCACAAGGCAGGTCCTTTTACTTTCCTAGAAGTTGGGCAAGCTGTTAGGAATCGAAGGCAAGTGACCGTCCTGTCTCCTTTGCCCTGTGTCCTCTGACTAGGGGAGCGGAGCGCTGCTGAGGGGGTCCTCTGCAGGTGGTGGGGTGGCTGGTCATGCACAAAGGCTAAAGTCCCATGGGATGATCAGTCCAGACCTCTCCATCCCCAGCTCAGAAGGGTGGGCTGCCTCTCCCCCCACCTTTGGTTGTAAAGGCTCATCCAAATCCACAAGCAGTTGCTTCCAGCTAGTTGGAAAGAACCCAGCTAAGGCATCCAATGCTTCTCTGTAGAGTGGGAGAGATCATTTCTACCTCACTGGGCTGTTTAAAGATAAATACAGGCATTGTGTTAAAAATACCCTTAGTAGATCCCAATAAACAGTCAGGGGTGGACTGGTCCCAACAATCATGTAGGGTACCCAGGTATTGCTGTTCTCACTCTCCAGATGAGGGAATTGAAGGCACCTCCCAAAGTCACTGGCAAGTGCCTGCAGTTCAGACCAGCTCTTTCCACTCTTCCTCCACCTCCCAGAACTAGGACCTGCTGCCAGACTCTTACTTTGTGAGCGCCAGGCCAGAACTGGGCTTCTGGGGCCATGGGGCTGCATCCTGGGGCATGGGCACCAGGAGGATCTGGAATTAACCAGGTGAGCCCAGGAGCACCTCCCACCCAGGGGAGGGGGAGGAGAAGGAGTGAGCTGCCCAAAAGGTGCCCTTGGCGTCCTACATATGGCCACCTGTGCTGGGGGGAGCCTGGGGAGCTCAGTGGCCGTGAACCTTCCTTGGGTACTCGACAGACAAGCTCCTGGCTTAGCTTCAGGTCTTAGCTGAGTGTCTACCTCTCTGTATCTTCATGTGCAGAATGGGATAAGAGTCTTTATTTTGGGGAAGGTTTAAATGGGACAGATTACCTGTGAATAGCTACCATAGTGTCAGATACACCACTAGAGCCGGATAGATGGTTTCCTTGTCAGATCTGGATTTGGATAGAAGCAATGGGACAGAGTGACAAAACTGGCCCAGAACCTGGACTGGAGCCCCTAGGTTGGCCTTGGCCTCATCTGTTATTCTGTAATCCTGCAATGACCTGGATCCCCACACGCAGATCCTTCCCGAGATCCCTGGTCCCCACTGGCAGGAAAGCCCATCTGTTCAGGGGCCAAGGGCTCAATGAGCTGGGTAACTCCCCACGTGGCCCCTGGGTGAACACACCACTAGGGACCTGTGTCACAGAGCTGCACCCAGTGCCCAGGGGCCTCTGGCAGGTAGGCACTCCCTCCTGGGAGCAGAGAAGGCAGAGGTGCTGGGCTGGCTCTTGAGACACACCCCTCCCCTGTGCCAGGACTCCCGGGAACCTTTTCTGTTCCACAGACCTTGTTTATTTGTTCAGGCTGATAAGCAGGATTCTCTGGACCCTGGTCGGGAACAGGCAAAGTGCATTGTTCTGCTGGCTTTTCTTGGATGGATTTGGAGCCACAGTGAGGACTGGGGGAGGTGGGGGACTGCACAGGAGTCTCTGCATTCTCTCTGTCACCAACTTGCCCCTCCTTTGGTTTCCTAGTCTGGTGAGGGTCAACTCCTTGGCTGCTGGAAGATTTTAAAAGGGGACAGCAAACCTTGCCTCTGGTGTGGGTGCCATTTCAGGACCCCCACTGGTGGGGGGGGCGTGATGAGCAGGCATCATGTCCTGGCTCCAGGGCATGTATCCTGCTTCTCACCTGCTCTGGAGCCCCTCTTTGGACATGTTCTGCAGCCCCAATCATAAGGACTCGCTGACTTGTATCAGGCCTTACTCTGTGCAGTGTGCCTGTCGCGGTGAGGGCATCGTGTTAGCATATGAAGAGGAAGCTAGCACTTGGAAAGGTGAGGTCCATTGCCCCGTTGCCTCGGGTCTGCTAGCCTGGGAGAGCTAGAGCAGGAGGTGAGCCCAGATGACCGAAAGGTATGTGTGCTTAAGCTCTACACTGAATAGCTAAATCTTCATCCTCCGAGAGAAGAAAGGGTTTTGAACACATTTCTAAACATTCTAGAGCCCCCTGATGAACATGGAGGTAGATCATTCATTCTCTCATTGAACAAACCCTTTGGAGGGCCTATTAGGGGCAAGACCTGTGCTAGGCCCTGTAGACGTGGGCCTCCCCCCCATCAGCTCACAGGGAGACTGGCCATTAAATGAGTCACAATAATCAGCAGTTAAGGACAGTTGGGGGGCTATTAGAGCACTGTTAAGGGCAGGTGGCCACTCCAGCACTCCTCCCCTGTCCCCTGGTTTAGGGTTGGGAGGGGAAGGTCAGAGAGAGTTCCTGGACAAAGTGAGAACAAAGTGGATGATGCATTTAGGGCCCCATCTGAGGTGACTGTCTTATTCATGCTTTCTCTGTCTCTGCACCAGTGACATTTCGGGCTGGGCAGTTCCTTGCAGTGGGGGCTTTAGAGGACCCTGTGCATTGCAGGGTGTTTAGCAGCATCCCTGGCCTCTATCCAGCAGGGGCCAGTACCGTCCTCCCTCCCCTGCTCCCCAACACTGACAGTTAAGAATGTCTGCAGATATTGCCAACAGTCCCCCGAGGGACAGAATCAACTGCAGTTGAGAACCATTGGCCCCAAAAGGGCCTGGTATATGGGGGATACTCACCAAATACTTGTTGAGTGGACCTGCTGGGGCGACCCACTCTGCAGGATGGGGTTAATGGGTACCAGAGTCGGTGGTAGGGGTGGATGCTGGGTCTAGATCTGGAATGCCAGAGAGAGGAGAAGGAAACTGGAGCCCTGGGGGCTGGGTGAGCGGTACATCAGAGGAGTGGTATAGGCTGTGTCGGTTTGCCCCCATCAGATGGACGTTGTGGGGTCATTTCCACATCTCAGCTCAGAGCTCAGCCGTTGTCTTCATTGTTTTTTCTCAAATGCACAGTACAAACATTGGCAGACGGTGTTCGAAAGTTGGACGCTCTGTCTCTTCACCCCGTACAAACCCGTGTGCAATTAGTGAGCGTCTACTTGGTGATGAGTCACTGACAAGCATGTCAAGTCTGGTTGGGACTGTAAATATTTATGATGCACCTGTTGCATGCCCAACAGCACTGCAGGTCCAGAGGGCATAAGGAAAAAGGGAAAAGAAAAAGAAAGCCCTCCCAGCTAAGCCCTGGCACGTTCCTTCTTGTATGTTCCCAGAGTCCTGGGTACCTAACTCTTTTATGACATCTCTCTTGAGTGTGAGTTCTCTGAAGTCAGGAATCAAGTTTTTATTCGTAGTTGGACCCTGCGTGTCCAGCAAAACAAGGGTCGCTGAATGAGTGAGTGAATGGAGTATCAGAGCTGAAAAATCTTAGAGACTCCCTTCTTAGGGAGGGTGGGGGACAGAGCTCTGTCACGGTGGGAACTCACACGCTTCATTCCTCTTGTCTTGTGGGCGTGAGCTGAGCCTCAGTTTCTTCCCCTACACAGTGGGAACGTGGATGTCTCCCGGAGTTTGTGAGTGGACGAGTTGAGATGCGTGTGGGAAAACAGTGGGTGCTTAGAACAGAAAATAGAATACTGGTCAAGGGATTCGACAGGCCACCTCTGCTCCCCGGCGGTCCCCTCTTGGGTAGCGGGACATCATTGTGAGTGGCCCCATTTGCCTGGCCAGGGTGCCCTGCTGGGCTGTGCTCAGTGCAGAGCCCCCGGCAGCCCCTCCTGATGCCTTCTCAACCCCCAGGTGCCGTGTTACTCCTATGGGCAGAAGCTGTCCAAACTGGCCATCCTGAGGATCGCCTGTAACTACATCCTGTCCCTGGCGCGGCTGGCTGACCTCGACTACAGTGCCGACCACAGCAACCTCAGCTTCTCTGAGTGTGTGCAGCGCTGCACCCGCACCCTGCAGGCTGAGGGACGCGCCAAGAAACGCAAGGTACGTGCCAGCCATGCGGGCAACAGTCTCTGGAGGGGGTCGGGAGAGGTGGGAACAGAAATAGGGGCATCCCACTCTCACCCAGGCTTCTGAAGGGGCCAGCAAAGTCAGCCTCCTAGAGGTTTGCTGGGAGTCGCTCCCTGGGATTATGGGGGTGACCCTATTCCTGGTCATGGGGCTGGCAGGTACCTTGCACAGGCACCCTGGGCCTCTGGGCCTGGGTTTGCTCCCTTCATGTGGAAGATGGTGTATCTGAAGCTCTTTCTGGTTTTTTGTGCTCTGGTGCTGATGTGCCCAGGTGGCCCCTGATAGATGTTGTATCAGAATGAGCCAGAACGAGATCCTCTGAGCAGGGTCACAGACCAGGAGAGCCCTTCAGCATGTTTGGGAGTATGACTTGGCCTGTGCATTACCTGAGGCCGTGCATTAAGGCTAGTGAGGTTCGTCATTCATTCATTCATTCTGGAGAGATTTGTTGATTGCCAACCATGTACCACACATATTGGGCAGGGATATAAAGGTGACAAACGTGGTCCCAGTCCCCATGAAGCTCCCAGGATGGCCAGAGTGGCCCTTCTGCCAGTGGATATGGGTGGGACAGTATGGCAAGGTGGTCTCGGAGGTCTGTGCTAAGGGCGGTGGAAGGCCAGGCAGAGGAAGGACAACTTACCTCTCCTGCCCAAGGGAGTTGGAGAGGGCATCTTAGTCTGGTCCCTCGATCTGGGACGAGAAGAACAACCAGTCACCAGGAAGATGAGACAGGGCACAGCATCTGAGACAGAGGAACCAGGCTGTAGCAAGCTTGATGGGTTTGGAGAAAGATGTGCAGGAGGAAGCATGGTGAGCGCAGCTATGTTCCCCGAATGGCCTGTGCCCCCAGCCTTCTCACTTGGGGGTCAGCGCCGGGCAGCACTGAGCACGGCTTATGGCAGCCCGCTGGATCTCTGTTCCTATGAGGGGAAGAGACATAGAAGGCGGGACCCAGCCTGTGTCCGTGAGGTGGGTGGAGGCTGGGAGAGACGCCTGGCCCCCTGGGCATCCAGGGAGGGAGAGGGTCGGGGATCCAGATGACTGGCATCCTCCATCCTTCCTGGCCTGCCTCTCCCTCTCATCCCTGACATTCCTCCCCCCAGCCCCCCTCCCCCCGCCCCCAGCAGGCTCCTCTCTGGGTCCTCCAGGTTTCCCAGAGGCCTCTGGGCCCTGAGCCAGGGAGGCCCCCCATGGACTCTCCTGCCTCCGCTGGGGAGGGCCCCGCACGTCCTCCCCGCCAGCCAGTCACGGCCGCTGCCACGGTAATTGGACGTTGCATTCCTGGGAATGATTTAACGTGGACCAATTAGATGAAATCCTCATCAAGCGGGTGAGAGAGGAAGCGCCACTGGCTACTGGCAGGGCGGCTTTCCTCTGGAAAGTGACACGGGTAAATTAAGGGCCTGATTGATGGCTCCATGCAGGGCTCTGTGACAAAGGAGGTTTATAAACTCTGGGTGAACTTCCCATGGCATTCGGGCGGCCCGGAGGTGTGGATGGGCAGGGTGGGCAGGCGCCGTTTGCTCCCAATCCACCCCTCAGCCCCTCACCTCCCCCCGCACCCCCCTCATGCGCTGAAACAGGAACGCTGACCCTTCCCTTCCCTGTTCCTTGATTGGAGCAGATAGAGTCCTGGGCTGGGGAGCACGGAAGGGGAGTGGGGTGAAGAAGATGCCCAGCAGAGATGAGCTTTTGGCTCCCCCTGAAATCCCTTCAGGTCTAAGACACCTTAGAGACCATCTGGTCCAACTCCCCATTGCCCCGATTAGGAGACTGAGGTGGCAGATTGTGGTTCGGGGCATCCAAGTCCCTCCTCATCACCTACCAGCTGTGTCATCTTGGACCCATTTCTCCACCTCTTCGAGCCTCGGTTCTGTTGCTGATAAGTGGGCGTGGTAGGAACGTCATCAGTGATTTCTCTGGCCCTTTCCGGCCTCCGTGCCCAAGTGGAGGTCTTGCCTCTCCTCGGAAGAGCAGGGGGTATCCTGCGTCCCCTCCTGCTGGGTGGCTGTCCCAGGGGCTGTGCCTGCAGTCAGCACTGCCAGGAGGACGTAGATGGACAGGGTCTACGACGACTTGTCCAGTCCCAGTGTTCTGCCCTGGCAGGCTGGGGGTTCATGGGGCCACCCTGTTTCTGTGGCTTATGCTTTCCTGCATGTCTGTCACCGTGCAGGTTGGTGAGTCCTGAGGTGTCCTCAGGGAGGGCCCAGTGACCTGTCCAATGGCCCTGAGTGGCTGGGGCAGGCCACCATTCTGTTAACCGGAACCAGGGGGGCTGGTGTCCCTGGACATTCACTTAATGATTCATTCATTCAATGTTTATTGCGCATGTGCAGTGAGCTCCACACTGGGGCTTGGCCCTCCATAGTCCCTGTAGACAGAGTGGATGGATTGAGGGCTCAGATCGAGCCTCTGTCCCCCCTCCCCTGTGGCCACTGAGGGTTTGGGGATGGGAGTGAGCCAGGCTTACATCCTAAGGAGAGAGAGGGAAAGCAAAGAAGGGAAGAAACTAGAGAACGCGTGCCAATATAAGTAAGTGGCTCAAAGGAAGTCCTCTGTAAATGGGAGCTGTGACGGGGGTGACCCTCACCAGCGCGACTGATAGCAATTTCAGTTTTCCCCTCGATGGCGCCCTCACAGTGAATGTGTCCTCAAGAGGCCGGGTGACCCTTTCTCAGGACACCTCAGTGAGAGATTGTGCGCAGCGTCCTCTGAGATCCCTTGTAGTTCTAATGAGCTGCCTTGACGCCCCCCCCCCAGCCCCAGACCTATGTTAAGAATGGGATTTAAAGAGAATTCAGCCCCCCCACCTCCTGCCAGGCCTCAGGTGCCCCCTTTTGCCCATCTCAGCCCTTCCCTGCCAGGGCTGGAGACCTGCATCCCTTGACCCGTGGGTCCTCTGTCTCTGGGCCTCATAGGACAAAACTTTGAGGGTTCAGAGCCTCGTTTGGAAGCCAGGGTCATGCAGAGAGGCCTGTGTCGGAGGCTGCCCAGCCCAGGGATGGGGGTGGGGGTTGGGGTGGGGGGGGTTGTCGTGGGGGGAGGGGTGGATGGGCCCTAGAGAGCTCAGTTCTGACTCTGTAGTTGGAGATAGTGCACGCTAAGCACCTGGCTCTGGGCCATGTTTCTGCAGCTCCTGTTTTTAAAGCAGCAACTCCTGGGAGCTTCGGAGGAGGAGGAGGAGGAGGAGGAGGAGGAGGAGAAAGAGGAAGAACAGCAGGACTGTTTCACACCTGGGCTGGGGTGGGGGGGGCGGGCAGCGAGGCCGGGAGGGAGGCTAACCAGACCTGCAGAATAAGAAAGGACCAATTTCCCACAATCCAGGGTGCCCCTTTCCAGCGACTTTAACCTCTGGAGTAATAATCAGAGTAAGCTAACGGCTACTAACATTGACGGCATAATTTCAACCCTGGTGCTAAATGGCCAGCAAATCTGTGCCCTCAGGGTTGCTTGCAGGCCATTTGGGGATGGGGAGAGAAAAAATGTCATGATGCACTGAGTTCAGGGCTATTCCGGAAGCCTGGGCGGAGATTAGGGGATTAGGGCCCCCTGGGGCTGTGCCAGCTGTGGGGAGGCCGGAGGGAGGCTGGCTCTGCAAGGCTGGGAAGTTGCTCCTTACCCTGTGGGTGCTCTGTCCTGGAGGAAGCGCTGAGGCTGGTGCGGCTCCGTCAGACTTACGTCTTCCCTCTTTTCCTGCTGCTTTCTAGACAGGGGAGGCTTTTCTCGGTGATGGCAGGTCCCATCTCATGTGCAGACTTCGTAGCTTTGGTGCTGGGGACAAGCTGAGGTGGTACATTGGTTGTGGGTTGGGGGTCACTGGAGCCAAGGGTGTTTCGAGGGGCCCCTTACTGTCTGAGCAGCTGAGCCCAGGCCTTGGACAGGACCTGGTGGCTCCTGCTGTGTATGTGGACCGTGCCCAAGCCCCAGAGCTCACGAGGCAGAGTGTCAAGAGCTCCTGCTCTGGCTGGATCCAGCCGCCTGTGTGCAGGGCCTCCTGTGTCCCCAGAGTGTCCACCGAGGGGCACTGCCCTGGCTCTCTCCCTACCTGTATGTACATAGTCACCCCCACTGGGGCCTCAGGGTCTACTTCTGTAAGGTAAGTTGTCACCAGAAGTGATTTCTAAGGCGTTTTGGGGTCAGGCTTTCTGAGTTGAGGTCCCTCAGCTCCTTTTTCTGTCTGAATGACTAAACGCCTCACTCTTACTTTCCCTGTGCTCTGTGTGGGCATTTCACACAGATCTAAAAGTTGCTCCCAGAGACTGCTGGGACCCCCGTGCAGTGCATCCCAAGAACGCTGATAATACCTGAGGTTCTTAGAGCCTGGATTACATGCCGGGCACGGTGCTTAGGTCTTGTGATGGATCGCCTCGTGACTCTTCCCGCCAACCCTGCGAGGTGGGTACCGGTGCTGTCCCATTGCCCAGATAACAAAGCTGAGGTTCAGAGCCTGAGGAACTTGACCAAGCTCCCTTAGCCAGTGAGAGAGGTGTGCCGTGGCCCCTGCCCTTCCCTGTCCTGCCTCCCACATGGAAGTGGGTGTGCGAGAGGAGCTTCTCTTTCCATATCCTCCCAGCCAAGTTACTGAGTTAAATACCATTTGCCTTCAAAGCCCATAGAGTCCATCTATGCTGGGAAGAAAAGGGGGGGTGGGTGGGTGGGAAACCACCATCAAATTCCCTTCTAGTCATAAAAATGGATGCAATATATTTTTTCTGGCATTCCAATTACATAGACGTTTGTCGCCAACTGTTTGGTCTAACACGGAGTGTTCTCTCAGCTGCCGTTTCTCCTCTCACATTTGACATCATTAGTCCACAGGTCTGGCAGGCACTGGGCTGGAGGGATCACTGGCTGGGGAGCCTCACAGGTGAGCTGGGAGCCAGCTTCCCCCCGCCCCCGGAAGGCAGAACTCGGCCCTCTGATGTTCCCCTGGTGGTCCTGGTGGGGGGGGGGGGTAGAGGCAAGGTGCT